CTCCAGGAGATGTTATTTTGCTTCTTCATACTTTACCTTGTTCTCTAGCAACTTATTTTCAGCTGTGCAATAAAAATGAAAGCAGTCTTTTGGAGTAAAGTTCTCTGTCTCTCCCCAAAACACTCGTTACCTCCAAAATATGAGCTGTTCCACTTGATTAGCGAATATGAATAAGATATTACTGCATAAAGTACAATCCCTTTGAAGAATGGTTGTTTTTGTGCCGCTTTAGTTTCCTCGGATTATTAGAAGTATTAAAAAATGCTAAAGGGAAAATATACAAGAGACGTCACAAAGTAGAAAGCAAGTCTGCCTATTTTAATGTTTTCTGTTCTACTCCGTAAAAGTGAGATCACCCTCCAGGTTCTGCAAATTCTCTTATTTATTTCTGCTGTAGATACAGTAAATGCAACAAGCCCCATTCTCTCTCCACCTCTTACTGCAGGTCCACCTCTGCTTCTGTTTGTTGATAGAATTTTCCGTTTTTATTATTCAGCTACATGAAAGTAACTACGATGCTGGAAAAGCCCTGCAGCGCTTGGTGAAGAAGCCTGTGCCTAAACTGATTGAAAAGTGTTGGACTGAAGATGAAGTGGTAAGGAGTGATTTAGTCTCTTCTGCCATGCAGTTCCTGTTACTTATCTCTGTCTTCTGTCCAGAGTTCTTGTTTCAGGGTATGGGAGGGGGGAAGGCAAGTAACCAGTTTTCCAAATGAGTCAGTCTCTTAATCAGTGGCTAGAGTCTAGTCCAAGGATAAATACTTTTCCAATAGCATACATCTTGAAAGGCTACAATTCTGTCACCTTGAAAGGATTCCGTGGAGGAGATTAAGTGGCACTAGAGCCCTCAGGCTGGGCTTCTTGCTTAGCAGTAGCAATAAGGGGAAACATAAACAGGGTACAAGATGTTTGGTTTCACGTTAACTGGTTTTGCCTGCGTCTCCCAGGAGGCCAGAGTCAGTGAGTGAGACTCCAGATCTTCAGTTCATGTTGACTCATCCATGCTCCGTGGTCAAGAACCTTCTTGTTGAGAAGGGTTTATGTAAGGATTGGTGCCACCTTCTTCATGTGCATTGCCAAAATATGGTGTTATCACAGTTAGGGATGTTAAATTTCTGTTAATGAGCTAATCGAGTATTCGATGGAATCTACTTGATTAGTTGATAAGAGGTTCGCTATCCCGGCTGTGCCTCTGCCTTTTAAATGTAGTAAGAGCCACCTATGGCTCGCGCAGAGGCAGCACAGCCGGGAATCCCAGGCAAGTGGGGCCTGCTCTTCCTACGTTTCAAAGGCAGAAGCGGTGCAGTGGAAACCTGGGGCGAGCAGGGACTCAAGCCCCTGTAGGGTTCTTGATATATTTAAAAGGCAGAGGCACAGCAGTCGGACCAATGTGAGTGGGGACTTCTTGAGTGCCCGCTTGCGCCATTTCCTCCTGCACTTCTGCCTCCTCTCCCCGCTTCCCAAGGAGACGGTGCTGGCAGGATACAGAGGCAGCAAGCCGGGGAGGGAGAGAAGCGACTAGTTGCTTCTCTCCCTAGTCACAGTTGTCACTGGCTGGATATTCGGAGTCCTGTGAACCAAAAAGGGGTTGTCTGAAAGCTGGTGTATCTGTAGCTTTTACATCATTGGATTGAATGCAGAGTGTCTCCCTCGTATCCAGTTTCCAGGGTAACATGAGGGTAGGGTAGCCCTGCTGCAGAGCAGAACTCGCCTTAGAGCCTGGGGCTGCAACCAGTGACTTTAACATCATATACCTGGGGCATTTTCTGTGTCTGCTGTACCTTGTGTCCAGCATATAGAATCATAGAATACTAGGACTGGAAGGGACCTCGCAAGGTCATTGAGTCCAGTCCCCTGCCCTCATGGCAGGACCAAATCCTGTCTAGACCATCCCTGATAGACATTTATCTAACCTACTCCTAAATATCTCCAGAGATGGGGATTCCACAACCTCCCTGGGCAATTTATTCCAGTATCTGACTACCCTGACAGTTAGGAACTTTTTCCTAATGTCCAACCTAAACCTCCCTTGCTGCAGTTTAAGCCCATTGCTTCTTGTTCTATCCTCAGAGACCAAGATGAACAAGTTTGCTCCCTCCTCCATATGACACCCTTTTAGATACCTGAAAATGGCTATCATGTCCCCCCTCAATCTTCTCTTTTCTAAACTAAACAAACCCAATTCTTTCAGCCTTCCTTCATAGGTCATGTTCTCTAATCATTCTTGTTGCTCTTCTTTGGACCCTCTCCAGTTTCTCCACATCTTTCTTGAAATGTGGTGCCCAGAACTGGACACAATATTCTAACTGAGGCCTAACCACCGCAGAGTAGAGTGGAAGAATGACTTCTCGTGTCTTGCTCACAATACACCTGTTAATCCATCACAGAATCATGTTTGCTTTTTTTGCAACAGCAGCACACTGCTGACTCATATTCAACTTGTGGTCCACTATAACCCCTAGATCCCTTTCTGCTGTACTCCTTCCCAGACAATCACTTCCCATTCTGTATGTGTGAAACTGATTGTTCCTTCCTAAGTGGAGCACTTTGCATTTGTCTTTATTAAACTTCATCCTGTTTACCTCAGACCGTTTCTCCAATTTGTCCAGTTCATTTTGATTTATGACCCTATCCTCCAGAGCAGTCGCAACCCCTCCCAGCTTGGTATCATCTGCAAACTTAATAAGCGTACTTTCTATGCCAATATCTAAATCGTTGATGAAGATATTGAACAGAGCCGGTCCCAAAACAGACCCCTGCAGAACCCCACTTGCTATACCTTTCCAGCAGGATTGTGAACCATTGATAACTGGGACTATCCCATATGGTGATTGGCTAGATCAAGGTCAGCAACCTATGGCTCGCAGGCCAAATATGGCTCACAGCTCGAGCTCAGCCTCATCCCTAATGCCCCTCCCCAATCTCCCCCCCCCCCTTCCTCCTCCCGCAAGATTGCCGCCAGCTTCCTGTGGGGAGTGTGTTGGTGGAGAAAGTCCCAAGCCTCGCTGTGCCATTGGGGAAAGTGTGGAGCCACAAGTGGCTCTGCGCGCTCCTCCTCTCCTTTCCCTAGCAGAGGTAACAGCAACACAGAGACATGCTGCCTGGGGGCTTTTCCCTCTACCACATTGACCAGAATCCGGCCAGTGGAGCAGCCGGAAGCCATGCCTGGGCCAGGGAGCCTGAGAGCAGCATGGGGCACAGAAGCAAGTAAGTGCTGCCCAGAGCCTGCAGTCCCCACCCCTCTCCCTCGAGCTGAGACCCTGCACTCCCAGCTTGCTCCTCCTCCCTCTGCCTTGGCCAGACACCCTACTCCCAGCCTGTTCCTGCATCCTACCTTCCACCCAGATCCTGCACCCCCATCGCTATTCCACTCACTAGCACACTGGACCCCTCATTTTTGGACCCGCTCTAGAGCCAAAGGGAGCCCACACAATCCACTAACCTTGGAACCCCAGAAGAGTTCATCTGGCCTGAGGCCTTGAATCTCAGTCTCTCCTCCCCCTCCCTCTTCTCCCCTTCCACCC